CATTCCAAATCTTTTTTTTTTTTTAAGTTATAGTGTTTTTAAATTAATATTAAAATAATCAATGATTTTCGGAAATATCAGCTATCAATAAAGATTTTTTTTTTAAATAGTGACTTTGTTATGATAATTGGAATAGAAAATATACTTTTTTGGTGTTTACTGAAGGTTTGTCAATGATAATTAATTTTGATAAGATACATTCTTAATTAAGCACAATCTTCATCCCTATTCGATTTATATTTTTTTTTTTAACTATGTGCTGTTTATAAAAATTATTTTATTTCTTTATACTCATATAGTTCATTTTTCACCTAAAAAAAAAAAGTGTGTGCGTCGAAAATATTCCAAATATTACCGTCAACTGTCCTTTAAAGCATTTTTGAATGGTCATCGCAACTAGCGCTCCGCGTGGTCGTAACACGAACTATTTACGAAGCCATCCTTGTTTGTTGGGTGTTGGCTGCCATGGCGGTTTGTTTTGCCCCTTTTTAAACGTAAGTACTTGATATTATATGGTTTGGAATACTGTCTGGTAGTTTTAGATAATTGTGTTAGGTGGTATTTGAGTAAAATCACTCGGTCGACTCTGACATTGGACCTGTCATGGCGTCGTATAGTCGTTGAGGACACGAGGGAGGGAAGTTAAGTGGGGATGGTCTTCTTATCGAAGTTGGCGACATGCTACAGCTGTTGCGTTATCTCAATTTAGACTCAATTTTCTAGTACTGTCACGTCTTAATGATGGTGACCTAAAAACTTCATAATCGCTTTGAAGCACTTAGGTAAATACTTAACGTCGATTAAATAGGAAAACTTATGCAAGTTTTGAAAACAATTATTTTTTTTTATAAGTTAATATTGATTCAAGTTCGTATAATTTCCATGCTTTGTAAGCTATAATTCGTTAAGTTCAGTAAAAGTAACTGATGAATTATTCTATTTGTGAAAACTAAAATTAAATTATATCAGCTGTTTAAATAAACAAAACAAACATCAATGTATTGTTTTTAATCTAACTATGGCTGTTGAGAATAAAGATAAATTTTTACAATAAAACCAAATTTTTTAATATTTATTCGTACAAATGTAAATTTATTGATACTAAAGTAGCTGCTTACACATAGGGTTTATCCACGTCGATAAATACTGTAAGGTTATTAAACAGTAAAACATTTTCAAAATTATTACTTTTTTAAAAATTTATATTGATACATATAATTATCATGTTTTGAAAACTATAATTCTTTAAGTTCAGTAAAAGTAACTAATGTATTATTCTATTTTTAAAAATTAAATATGAATCATGTCAGCTGTTTAAATAAATAAAGCAGACATATATCATTTTTACATTCACTTACCAATATATGTAATATATAGTAAGTATAAGTATTGCGATCGTGGAAATTTTTGAATCTGAGTTTTCAACGGAAATACACGTTTTGAGGTCCTCTTGAGTCCAAATAACCAAGTCCCGAACAATGGTCTGTGTGTATGTGAACACTCTAGCTCGAAATTGAAAAGTCGTACGAAACTGATATTACATATTTAAGATAGATATATGTCTTAAATGTACTGGCAACTTTTTCTCAAAAATGGTTCTAACGATTTTGATTAAACTCGGTGTATCATGGAATAATTAAGTGGTATTTAATATCATTTAGGTCTTATCCCCGTTGATGTCCCTTTACAGGGCTTAAATGTTCGCATACGTCTTCCTCTAAAGTGCCTTTAATATGGTTCATTTCAAATAATTAACTATCCCTCATTATTAAAATTTACGAAAAAATGCTAAATATAACGTTTGAAAGAATTTGATAATTGAATAAAGGAGAAAAAAATAAAATACTTATCCAGGTCGAAAATGAATTTCCGGAAATACTAGTCAGAAGGTATACGTATAATATATCGTTGGTAAGGGAATAATTTTAGAAAAAACAATATCTAATATAGAAAGTTGTAGAAGGTAACGGAGTGTGGCGAGAAAATTATAACTAATAATTTTTGAAAACTAATAATATTTAACTTAAATCACATGCTATCAAGAAAATTAAATGAAATTTAGAAACAAAATGTAAACATTAAAAAATATTTTTAAGTTTGTAAAAACTGTTTAAAATCCACCTAATCAAGGCAATGGCATTGTTATAAAAACTATTTTATTGTACTTGTCTGAAATAAGAAATAAATTTTAAATCATTTCATAGATGTATAAAGCATATGTTTATAACCTTAAATACATTTACTGTAGTTTAGTGATTATAGTTCTGATATTATATTTAAATACTTAGGTATCAACGTTTATTTAAAAAAAATTGTCATGTAACTTTTTAGAAAATTAAATTAGTGAATAATTGGATGAATTTTCCCTTTGTGAAATCCCAACATTATCATGTTTTCCTCTAAAGTACCTTTAATTTGGTTTATTATAAATTATAAATATTTATCATTGATAGGAGTTATGGAAAAATGCTAAATATAACATTTGGAAAAATTTGATCATTAAACAAAGCAGTGGCATATAAAATTAGTTATCCAGTTTGAAAATGAATGTTCGGAAATAATAGTCAGAAGGTATACGTATAATATATCGTTGGAAAGTGGAGAATTAAAAAAAGCAATATATAATATGGAAAGTTGTAGAAGGTAACGGAGAGTGGCGAAAATAATATAAATAAAAATTTCTAAAAACTAACGTTATATAACGTAAATCAGGTGTTTTCAAGGAAATTAAATGAAATTTTCTTACTAAATGTAAACTTAAATTTTTTTTTTTAAGTTTGCAAAATATTTAAAACCCACGGATTCAAGGCAATGATATTGTTTAAGATACTATTTCACTGTACTTGTGTGAAAGAAGAAGTGAAGTATATAAATATTTCATAGATACGTTTATAACCTTATAAACATATTTAATGACTCTAGATCTGATATTATATTTATATAATTAGGCATCTATCGTCCGTTTATTCCGAAAAATCATTGTGTAACCTTTTAGAATATTAAATTAGTGAATAATTTGAAAAAAAATCACTACTTACAATTAAATCTATAATCAATATCAATAATAATATCAATAAAGAATCTACTTACAATCAGTGTAACAACTTTTGTCCTGTCTATGACAGATAATGCAAATATTTCGATTCCGTTATAGTAAACTTTTCAATGAAAAATAACAATTTAATAACTAATATTTGTAGAATACATTATCAACCGGTGATATAATAAATAGGACTTTTTTTATTTTAATATAGTATTTATGATTTTTAACTGTAAACGTTTAGCTTTAGCTCAGTTATAAATGCAATTCATAAATTTTATATTAGCCCAACGTGGCTAAAACTAATTTCTATTGAAAGTACAGTGGTAAGTGAAAGTTGTGTGTTGCTCGCACCAGAGTTTTTTTTTTTTTGAGTTTTTTTTTATGTTGATATATCATAACGTAACTACGACTTATGACAATAAAAATAATCATTTTAAAAAAATACGAATTATAAATTTAAATAAGTTAAATTTAAAAACGAATTCTTGAAGTTTAATTAAGAAGCATCAACCGAAATGTATAATATTAATTCATGCAAATATATATTTTTTAAACCGAAGTACCTGATTTCACATTATATCTAACAAATAAGGTATGAAAATTTTCATTATTAAATAAGTGTACCTTTGGCTTAGAGTAGCTCTAAGCCCTGCCATCATTGTCATATTTCCAGTGTCGTCATATCGACTGGAAATTATTTCGTTTTGATGTTTCATATGCTCTTATATTTTATTTATATGTTGTATATGTGTTTCTGGATATAGTTTGCGGCCTCTTACCTATCCCATCAACGTTCTTGGTGTTCCCTGACCTGTTCCATTCTATACCAGTGAAGTTGTCTTTTAAGTATTGATTTTAAAAATAAAATCAGCTGCGATTAGGTGACCTGATTACTAAAACATGAAGTTATGTATGTATTTTTTTTTTTTAGTTTTTGTAAATGCAGTCGGTCCTCTTTTTATCGAATATCCATTGTCGGAAATCTTTACATACCATTTTTTAGGAACCTAGAACTTTTGGATCTTACTTTTAAAAAAAAAATATGGAATAAAATTTCAATCTATGGAACTAAAATTCAGATAAAAAACATAAAGTATATATTTTTCAAAAGGAGTCCGCCCTTGTTTACGTTTATAAGTTTTGATTATAATTGAATAATAATAAAAAAACATTTCACCGTGTATTACACCTTGATTCGAACATTGAAACATTTCAAAGTTTTGGATGAGGTCTTAAACGATTTAAATGAATCATTGATAAAATCTGTGACGTTGTATTTAATTTTAGTAAACTAAAAATTGTCTTTACAACTATATTAACTCTGAAAAACTATAAGTCATTTTAGTTCGACCAGGATGACAAATTAAATCTTTCTATTTATCTCATTCAGATGAATTATTTATTTATTATAGTAAATTAATTATTATTTAGTTTTAATAAAATATATATATATATTTTTTTTTTCAAGAAACCATCATGGTCAATAAATTTCATTGTCTTCTTATTCAATGATATCTTATACCTTTCAGTGTAGAAATGTTTGCACAATGAGTTCCATTCTTCTCTGTCGACTGCTGTTCTCATGGCTTCCGACCATCGGATTACCTTTTCTTTAAGGATACTAATTTATCGTTGCAAGTAATTTCTGGTCTTCCTCTACGTCAGTTTCTCACTGGTTTAGCCTCCATAGTTTTCTTCGCTGAACGGCAGTCATCCATCCTCATTTCCTGACCGAACCATCGAAGCTGCCCTTTCTCAATTTTCTGGTTGAGGGGTTCACTTCTGAGAGTTGTACGTATCGTTCTGTTACGTATCCAGTCTCTCTTGGTCTTCTCCTCTATTTTCCTCAGATACCTCATATTTCCATGCTCTGGAGGCTGGCAGAGAACATCCTCCCTGAAGTTGCAATTCTGGTATTAATTTCGTTTCTGAATTCACCTGGTCTATCACCCCCACATTACTGCGAATCCTTACAATCCTTGTTTCTTGATACCAGCAGACACTTGGTCTTGGTAGTGCTAATATTGGTTTCTACTAGTGAGGTCCATTCTGCTCTTGTAGCTAGCAGTAGTACGTCTTGGTTCCTGTTAAATTTTGCAGACCCGTCATAGGTCCTTGTCTTTTGGTCTGCACTACTGGATTCCACTTTAGAGAATATTTTTCGATATTTTCATTAGTTTTTTTTTAAAGTGCCTCAGAGCCACTTCCATTTCTTCTTCCTGTTTTCGATAAGTTGCTCTGTAGTTCTGCAGGACTCATCAGCCTCGAGATTTTCTTAGACATCCCCTGATGATTCACTAAGGCCATTTCATGTATCTGCAATCATGCCTGTGCACTTTGTCTTAATCATCCCGTGTTCTCGTCGGGCGGTTCAAATTGTACAATATGTACAATTACTATGGCTATACCATATGTCAAGTATAATTTTTTTTTAAACCGGACTGGTATTTAGAGATAGATAACATATAGATTAAATTATATACGAAGTTAATATTCGTTTTTCGCCCCCCCCCCCTAACATCTTTTCAATAAGAATTTTTATCCCAAACAAAAAATTAAAAGATTTTGCTCAATATTTCACCTTCTATTAATATTTGTTGTATGATTAATCGGTTTTATACATATATACACATTATTATTATTATTAAAACACCTATATATTAGTATCTTGTGATATACACATCTTTGTAATTTATTTTTTTATTTCAATTTCAGTAATTTCAAATAAAATATCTATGTTTTATTATTTTTACTTTCGGGTTCTTTATAAATTATGTCATATAATAATCTTTGTTCCGCCTTACGTAATCAAATCAAATTTTAAGTCTCCCAAGGGTTGAGACTGCCCTGCCTCCTGCGGAGGAGGGAGGAATCAACTCAGTAGTTGAGCGGACTTGTATCTGTGAGGGTTGGAATCACCTGTTGCTCTATGGCGAGTGAGTATTATGACAACAAATTTTATGTGGTGTCTATTCTTTAATTTTTATTTGTAATTATCATATTATGTGTAGGTAAATTTTATTATTTAGAATTATTTTTTATTATCACCCCTCTTTTTCTGCATGATAACGAACTAGTGTTCTTTATGAAAAAAACTATCATTAAATATGATATAATCGTGCTTTATACACATATTATTGTAAAATTGAATAAATTACGGGATCCGATCTGAAGGATTGTAATATTATTCGAACCTTAAATGTTTTAGAGGGTGTACGCGATATATTATTTGCTACTTTCATATAGAAGTACCTGTACAGTTTTGTTGACGTGATTAATACAGTGGGAAGAAAAATAACGTTTTATTTTAAAATTCTTTTAATTTTAAAATGGTAACTTGGTTATCAGGAATTCGCATATTTATCTTGGCATTTTAGTCACTTGGTATAAGTCACATTTTAAATAATTTCTGCTACCTTTTCTGTACATAATTCTATTCAATAATTCATTCGTTAATTGAATATTTATTACTGTTTATCATACCGTGTTGAATATTATTAATCTGTGTGTTCTTATTAATGGCCACACTCCGGGGAGGAGAGTGGATTCTAGACAAAATTTCCAACAAAAAAGTTCATTTGTTCTATAGAACAGAAAAGGAGTTAAGTTCAATTTTGTGTTTGCTTAAGGTGGTCAGGTTTTTTATTGAATAAGAAGGCATTACTCAAAAACAATTCAAGATAATTAAATTCAAGGTACACCATCGTAAAGTAGAAGATGTTTTTGTGAGAAAACAGTAATTAAATTTCGTAAGGTCAATGATATAAGGGACTTATAGTAGACCTAAAAGTCCCTTATATCATTGAGCTTAGCAAATTTAATTACTGTCTTCTCAAAAATATTTTGTCTTATTTACGATGGTGTATATAGGATTTAATTATCTTGAATTGTTTTTGAGTAATGCCTTCTTATTATAAAAATTTGACCACTTTAAGAAAACACAAAATTGGTCTTAATCCCTTTTCTGCTCAAAATCGGCCCATGCATCAAATAAATTTTTTTGTCGAAAATTTTGTCTAGAACCATCCCTCAGAGTTGGCCATTAAGAACTGAGGCACCCTGTAGATTGTTTTAAGCTTACATAAAGACCATTTAAAATTGTATAAATAGTTAACATATACATGTATAACATTTAAATTTTGATTGTTAACTGAACAGTGAAAAAAATTAATTTTCGGCAAACCTTTTATATTATATTATAATTAATTTCATATTATTTAGGGTGGGAAGGGGAAGGAGAGCAACGCTTTTTTTTTATTTCTTTTTTATGAAATTTAATCATATTAATCATTGTCATTGTTTTTCATGTAGTTTTTCAATTTTCTGTCATTCGAAGATATAAAACCTGTTTGATTTTCCTACGCTATAGTTTCATATTTTTTTCTTTTTTATTCAATTTAAATCAAATTATTCGGTTGCATTCATAAGCATGTCATCAATATAGTCTGTATATTTCATAACGTTTCAAGCGACCATTTATTACAATGAATTCATTTACGAACTCTAAACCTGATGACTAATGATGATTATGATGTTATAAACTATAGTACATTTTATCTGGAATCAGTTTATATTTCTTACACACCGTTATCCATTCAACATCAAAAGTATTTACAAGTTCAAGCAAAAAAAAAAAACTTCATCAGTCATCAAAAGTCAATCAGCAGCTGAGGTTTGTTTTATTTATGAAGGTGTATTTTGATCTCTTAAAAAAAATAAATGAATAATAATAACAACATGATATAAAGTGTTTATATAAATAACGCAAATTGATACCGTAACTACTTATAAACTTTACATATATTTTTTTATCATATCATATTCATTTGTTTTACTCCATATTTATCCTTTATTTGACAAAATTTTTTTATTTTTAATATAACTTATGAACTTTTTTGAAGATCTTTTTAATTATTGACCATTAATACAGTAGCTTTTTAATTATTAAAGACGCTGTCTTAAAATGTGTAAATTAGGCAATACTCCTGAAAAAATACACGAGAAAATAAAATGGGCGTTTCTAATGGTTACTTATTTGATATGGTTTAATGTTTATTAAATTTCTTGAAAATAACATTTATTTCATAACATTAGTTTCAATGATTTGAAATTACAAATACTTTTAAAATTTAAAAATAAAGATATTTCACTTACATTTTTTAAATGTTCAGATTTTAATGAAAAGAAATGATGCATCAAAATTTATTTTCCTCGCTGTATTCATGTATTCTTTTCATTTTAATTATTAAAATTAATTTTCAAATACAAGCATAAATATTTATTAGAAGTTTTTTAATCAGTATAATTTGTTTGATGTATATGAATTACGTTCATTAATAAGTAATATAATTTTTTTTTATTTCATGCATATCCATTACGTTTTTTATTGTTTTATTTTTATTAATGTCATGTAATAATATTACATTTTTTATGTTTGTCTGATTTTATTTTTGGCTGTTAAGAAGGTAAAAATAATATATTTTTTTTATAATCTTACTCTACCTCGCGCATTTTGCGCCATCAACATTTTTTAGGGGGTCACATTTTGACGGGGTTTTGAATTTTTAAGGGGGACACGTTTCATGGGTGTTATAAATTTTCGAAATGAAAAGTTTCAAACCAGGTGACTAGGTAAAAGCATAGAACAGACCAGCTAAAGTGTAATTTATATGACCTACGATTTCTAAAATTATGCTTTATAGCACTGTTATTAAAAAGGGGGCAGCAATAAAAATATTTTGGGAGAGGGGAGGGAAAATGTACCATCGACCATAGGGAGGATGGGCACCACTACTGACTAGTACTATTTAAAAATTTAGGTTACGGTCGTAGTTTAAAAAAAATTGATGAATCAGTGAAACACGAACGAAAAAAAAACTGATGACGTATCAGGTAACTATGATGTGAAGGTCCCTATCAGTAACTATGAGATAATATATATTTTTCTTTTAGAATTGATAACAGAATTAGAAAAATATTTAGCCATCAAACAGCCTCATACGTTTTCTTTAATAGCATCTAGAAGCTTTCAGTGTGTAGTTCCACGTTCATCTAAAAATATTTAAAGCACTATACATAGGGAAAGGCGGGGTGAGATGGTGTTAAGCTTTTGCAATTTTTCCTACCCACTGTGAATGGATTCAAGAACCGAAATTTTTTATAAAAAACTCCCTCAATATCTTATCTAGTACCGTGATTTTTTTTTCAATTGCCTCTTTCGCCTTGAAAGGGATGAAACGTGGGTTTTCCCGAAAATTGTCATTTCCGTCATCTTGCCCCAGCTACGGAGTAAGATGGCAAAAAGTCCAGAGATTTTAAACAGGGCTTGAAAACGGAAAAAAAATATATCATTTTTTAAAAGTTTCGGTAATACTGAAATTTGTATTGTAGATAGTTCTTCAGTTCTTTTAGGATTGAAGCCTTTTCCCTTGCAGATTTTCAAGTATTGGTTTTACAGAATTATTATTTAATAAAAATATATTTAAAATTACTGTCTATTTCACAAAAAAAGTCGATTTAAAAAATGACTTGTTCTTACCTACTTAAACAAACCACAGATTAGAATAATGTGAAATTCATTTAAGACAAATTATAACTCTAATCTAAGCCCAATTACTGTTTACTTTTCTTTTAAAGGAACTTTATTTAAGAACTTGGATAAATATAATTTTAAACTTTAATCATAAATCTGAAACTTTATTACAAAAAAGTTACTTGAAACTTTTATTTTAAGAACTTTTTCCTAAAAAGGTTTCACAGGAACTGTTGAAATGGGACTTTTTCCCTAAAATAATTAATATTACGTGAATGACTTCCTATTAATATTAACCTATAACTCCTTATTTCCGAAAATTCTACAAACATTTTTTTTTTTTTTTTTTTACAAAAACAACATGAATGAATACATGTTTAATAAACATAAATCTAGAACTTTATTACAAAAAAGTTCCTCAAAAATATTATTTTTTTAACTTTTTTCCTAAAAAGTTTCACAGAAACTGTTGAAATGAAACTTTACTAAAAAAGTTCAATGACTTTAAAACATCTTAGAACATAGAATTATATATAGAACTTTATCTATCTATAACTTTTTTTTTCTTATTTATTTATTTAGAAATATAACAATCTGTCACGTGGACAATAATTATAGTGATATATGAACACATTCACACCATATATACAGAAAATATAAAATTAACAAAAGTAAAATAAGAATCAAACAATTTTATTATAAAAAAATAAAATAAAATAAACTAAAGATAAGTAAATTAAAAAACTTAAAA